TAATATTTACCTTTCATCTGCCATTTCTTGTTTGCTTTTTCAAATGTATCATAACATAAAGTCCAGGACTGGAACATTCACACACTTCAAGATACAAAACTACCCAAAATTGAAACTTCAACTTAAACCTTGGATCCATAACTAGTCATAATGCAAACATCTCATTTAAATTGTGACTATGAGAGCACAAGTACTGGATTATAACTGTTACCAGGCAAACTGTTCACTGTGAACAAATTATTAATTTAGCTTTTTGAGTCAAAAAGTAGCTGCAAACCGCTTTACTAATATATTTGTTATTCACAAATATAAATGTTCAAAGACATTTTGCAAAAAGTGCTGGCCACAGTTGTGAGAATTATACAATTGATTTCTATCTTAGAAAATTTGTTATTAGCTTTTGTGGTGCCTGTGACATAAGTGACAGAGCACTGTTTCTACTTCCTCACTGAGCGATAAAGTCAGAGGGGTGAGCAGTAAATATCATACGTAAGCACAAATAACCTTGTCCCCATGCCAGTGCAGATAACTGAATGAAAAAAAGACATTCCCTATGTACTCATAGGAAAAATCTGTCATGAAGCTACATTTTCCCACAATTACTTGACTAGACCAGCAAAAATATAGGCCCCAGATTTCACTGTTAAATATAAATTTCTTAAACATAAGATAATTAAACAGGGTAAGGTATTTGTTCTTCTTTATAATTACGATGAGTTGATTCCAGAATCTATTACAGACTTTCTGTAAGTCTTCTAGTGTCCTCTACATGAGCTACTCTGCCTGGAAAGGCATGCATGAGCTATAGTTTCCCTTTTTGACATTAAAAGCCACAAATCTAAACACCACTGCAGTAATGCAGAGGAAAAAATGTTCAGCTTTTACCTCAAAATTAGTCTCTGTAGCCATTAAGAAGTGAAAGCTCTGTGGAGGTAATACAGGCAAAACCACTGAGATTACATTCCAGTCAGAACAAGCACTTAACTATTGTAGATACGGTATCTAGACAATGATATATGGTAAAAAACCCAACATTCAATTGCCCGTTTCACGAGTATGAATTTTAAAATTATTAATTAACAAAATTATGAAACAGAAACAAATAGATTTATTGAAAAACAATAGTTAATTTAAGTGAGTTGGAGAGCTCCTTAATTGGAGTCCTGTGTTAAGAATAAAGAATAAAGCATTAAGAATAAAGCAACACATTAACAGTACTTCAGACATTCTTGTTTGAGCACAAGATTTATATTTACTATGGTTCAGTTACTTCTTTAATTAAAAAGAAAACTGTTTGCTGAAGGTTTGTGAGGAAATTATATTACATAAATATGTTGACATTTTACTTAGGCACTTACTATCTCATCCCTTAGCACTAATAAAACACCTCACCTCTAGAAGCTGGCAAGTGCCTCTTTATGTGACTGCTTACCAAACAAAATAAGGAGAAATGCTGGATGCACCTGAATCAGAATTTATAGATCTTAATACCCAGAATTCCGAGAAGAAGGAAGGATTTGGGGTTTTCTGTTGTTATTTTAAAGAAGTATACGTTTTGTCATATTAAATTGGACCTAAAATCCATTAAGTCCAGTTTCTGGTAGCAAGCAAAGAACTGCTGTACATGGGAAGAATCTAGCTCTCCCTTCCATTCCAGGCATAAATAGTTGATCTTGGTTGGGTATCCCTTTCAACATCTTTGTCATAGTTGATTTGTAGTAACAACAGATATTCCTATTACGTACGTAACTCTCTTTTAATCTTGCTTAAACCTCAGTGACTGGTGCTAAGTTAAACAACACACTAATCATTCAGCGTTTCAGAGATATTTCCCACTTCTTAATTGTATTGTTTTATACCATCATTAAGATCTCAGATGTGTCTGCTTGTGTAGAACTGTTCACATAATTTTCAGGAGCACTGCTTTCCTCCAGACCTTATTCTTCCTGTTCAAGGATCCTGCTCTGACTCATGTAACTAGGACTGACCCCATAGTCAAAGCTCCTTTATGTTTCCCAGAGTATGGGATTTTGACAGCCAGTTCTAACATCCCAAGTCATATTTTCTCTGTATATCAGCTAGGGTTCTTAACTAAGATGCTCCCATTCTCCAAGATCATCTGTTAGCAGAGACTAATTTCATATTCACTAAAACAGTAAGTGAATATCAGTTAATATGTATTTCCCGTCTTTATTTTTGCTTTTTCTCTATTTGAACCCTAAAATCAAAGATAATATTTCAGTTTCTTTCTTTTCACATCTTTTAGTGC